ATTTAAGCATATAATTCCTCCATTTAAAAATCCAAAAAAATTACAGTAACCATTAGCCAAAACGAACCGCAGACAGAACCGGATAACCTATCCACCATGGCAAATTCAAATCCACTCACTTTCTTGTCCATCGCAAGTTTACAGAAATTTTGACTTATTCCAGTCTCCCTGTCCAGGAGACTTATACTCTAGGAGCAGCTGTTGGCGGCTCACATCTTAGATTCTAAAATGTTGAGACTTAAAAGGCAAATTACCTAAAATTTTCAGGACATGGAAATCAAAATTTTCCAATTGACAAAAACAAAATTTTAATATCTCGGTTCTATCTTGATCATGAGCCATTCAAGGCTGCTGCTAGATATCCAACTTTCAATCCAACATTCCTCCCAAAATCATCTCTGCAATGGTATGATTTCGTCGGCAAAGCCTCAAAGCCAATCCCTCTTTTTCCCGACAACGCGTCCTCCCACTTGTAATTACCAGGAACTTCACTGGTTGTCCTTTTGTAAGAAGCAAACCACTTTAATTGCATGTAGCCATTCCGCCTCCATGGAGGAACATGCAATTCCTTCCTCTTCATTGATTTCTTTATTGCACTGCACATCAGTCGCACCACCTGCTTCAACTCATCACTTTTTCCGACGAATATCCATGGGAAAATCTCCAGGAGTGAAACGTAACTGGATGTTGGTTTAGCAATTTCGAATTCTGCCGCTAGATTTACTTCAACAATGTAGCGAGTCCCGCTAACAATCACATCTACATACTCATAAACCCCTGCTATATGTTTTCCTGTCTTCTCCCATCGAGACTTGCAGAGACCTAATTAAAGATCGAAAATATGAAATTTTGAGCCATGATAGGTAAATATAAGAATGAAAGGGCAAACTTAAAATGACTTCTTTGCGATCTAAACTACATCACATTACAGAACATAAAATATTCAATAAATGAAGTAATTCTTAATATCAAGACTTATAATCATCTATTGTGCAGTTTATATTACACAACATTTTTTATTCAAAATAATTATTAAAAGAGGAAATACCAACCAGCATCAAAGCCACTGTCACGCAAGCTTAACATTAGACTACGCTTGAAATTTGGAGACGAACTTCCGTCGGCTACTCTCCGGTAGGCAGTCTCCGTCGCTGTAAGAATCCTCTGCTTAATCTCCTTATCTGTGTCACCAACTAAAAGACTTTTTCCAAGTAAATCCTGCAACATAACTTTCGTCTCTAACTCAGACCAGTCGGATTCATCGCAGTCCTTCTCTTTCTCTTCTTTCTCCACACCATTTTCAATCATGCACTGCTTCTCTATAAAAGAATTCACAAGATCTGAAAGATCCGTAGCAGGGGAGTGCTCACTCCCACTACTCTCGCACAACCTCACCCCTGCTGCAGCTTTCGCCGCCTCATCGAAAGCCGCCGCCACCCTATCGAACCTCACCGGAATAATCCTCACCATTGATGATCTTAACCTTTTTTTTTTCCCAAGTTAATTCACCGCCGCTCTATATCTTTCTCTTTTTGTGGGGGAATTAATGATTTGAAGGAGATATAGGTTGTATTGATACGAGTTATATAGAGAATATGCTCACAGGAAAAATGATGAGACGATGTCGTGATAATGGAGCGACTGGGAGCGGGAGACAATCTATGGGAAGATGACAACAGATGAGATAATAATAACGAT